GGGTGGCAAAGTTTGAGAAGCCAAAAGGGAATCCCTCTTCCTTTCTTAAGCCCGCAACTACTGTTCTGTCACCATATTTGAAAGTAAGTGGTGAACTAGGAGTTGCATAAACCTTTTTTCATTTGTGTTTGTTAGTTGTGGTGGGCAAGTCTGAAAGATTGGGTAAGACTCCAAAGTCTAAACTCTACAAGCACTTCTAACATTTCTCTATATTTTATCTTGTGCAGTTTGGCTGTATATCTTCCAGGTACTTTTACCAATGTATTCAAGAAGTATATAAGAGTGTCAAGCAACATACATCCCCACCTGTTTCTCTTCTTGGACAGGTCAGTTTCTGAATTTGTGGCTAAAATTGCTTTCAATTTTATTACTCTTGTAAAACGTAGTTCAAAATCTACAGTTGTTGTGGCGGGACTTTTTCTATACAGCATCTTTTGGCACTCCCAATATTGATCGGATGAAGGGTAACCCGATTTGTAAGCAGGTATGTTACATGGTGCATCTTATATTAATTGCTTTCTTTGGCTGGTTGCCTTTCTATATTCAGTGCCCGCATCTTAGACTGAGTAATACAAAGTAACAGCTTTTTTTCTTATGAGTAGTTATGCCATACTTTCTCACGAAAGACTTCAACATTTCAGTAACATTATTTTTTTGGGAATCACGAACTTGAATATAAAGCATGGTCATACTTTTTCCTCAGTATGTATCAGTTTCTTGCTCTATCACATTCTGTTACTTCCCCTTACTTTGTAACCATTTCTATTTGGGGGTCAGGGGGTTGCTTTAGCATTTTTTAACAGACATATTTTGTCTACCCTCCCCTTCTATCTATCACAGCCTTCTTGGCATATCTCGTTTATTTTAGTAACAGTCGTTGGCTGCATAGGTTGATTTGAAGATTAGTAGCATACTTAAATTACTCGGACTTGTTTAGCTATCAGTAATGAAGAATTTATCTGTAACTATTATTCTTTCTTATACCTGCTATGAGAAACTTAAAATTAATGTACTTGGTCTTGTTACTATGAAATTTTCCAATGGTAAGTGGTCCCAATGATGTTTTCGTCTTTACTTTTATTGCTCAGATTGAATCTCTCCTGGATTTATCTGTTATACTCTCATGCAATCAAGTTTGCATCTTTGCTTAGTGATGAAAGAACTTATTCTGCTTCATGACATAGATCCCTTGGAATGAAGATAGTGAGCTGCTTGCTGCTTGGAGAGATGGAAGGACTGGGTATCCTTGGATTGATGCCATCATGATACAGGCAATTATCTTATTTTTATCTTCTTTTGGGACTTAATACAGGCTGCATTTTTGATGTTGATGTACGTACTCTTTAAAGAGTCTATGTGCCTTGCTTTCATAACCTTTTTTTTGTCAATGTCCTGCAGCTTCATAAATGGGGTTGGATGCACCATCTTGCACGGCATTGTGTTGCATGCTTCCTTACCCGTGGTGATTTGGTGGGACTTGAAAGCTTTAATTTCTTCCCCCCCCCCCCCCCTTTTTTTTTTCCTTTTTCGTTTCTGTATATTAAACATTCAAATTGGACTTTCTAATTAATACTTTCTACTAACAGTTTATCCACTGGGAGAAAGGTCGTGATGTATTTGAGAGGTTATTGATTGATTCAGATTGGTCAATTAACAATGGAAATTGGCTCTGGCTTTCTTGTTCCTCATTTTTCTATGAGGTATGCTCAATATTTATATGTTGAATAATGTAGTCACAGATTTTATCAAGTTTCAGCATTGAATATTAAAAGACGTTTTGAGCTTCATTTGGGCAAATATAGATGAGTGGCTATGGATGCAAATTTGTAGGATAGGCTTTTTTGCTCCTTTAATTGCATTGAAGCTTGTTTAATTGCTTAATGTTATTGAATGAGTGTAGGATCTTTTCTGTTATAGTGTGCAAAATGGTGAAAGTTTTCTCTTATCAATTAGATATTTTGGATAAAGTATTCTATGCTGCAGACACCATCACAAATTCTCGTTCACTTATAACTCAAGGATTCCTTGTTATAAATATCATGGTTATGCTGCTTTTATTTAGGGTACGAAGTATGTGACTTTGAGACTAATCATTATGTCTTGTTTTCTCTGAACAGTATCACAGGATTTACTCACCAATTTCATTCGGAAAGAAACATGACCCCAATGGCGATTTTATCAGGCATTTTCTTCCTGTATTGAAAGGTTTGTTGAGTTTATTAAGATCGCCTGAGATTTTCTATTTTTCAGAACATAATGAATGGTGAGTCTTTTCAATGATCAGATATGCCAAAACAGTACATTTATGAACCATGGACAGCTCCCAAGAGCCTCCAAGTGAAGGCTAAATGCATAATTGGGAAAGATTATCCAAGTCCTGGTAAGTGAACTGACGTTGTTCTCCTCAAGATATTCATAAATTTGACAAAATTCATTTACTCTTTTTCTTCTGAGTTGGTTCAACCGTTCAATTAAAGAGTCAGTTTACCCAGAAGTCAAGTTAGCATTTCCTTTGAGCAAGCATTTTTTGAATTTTTAGTATGCAATTTTCGCTGTTCATACACAGAAATTGCCAGGGATCTTGAGAAGTTTTTTCTGGCTTATGGCATAGGAGCACATGATATGCTCTCACTTTATCTGTATCAGTATTAGTGGATTTTATAGTGAATGTATTGCCCTAAATTTGACTGTAAAGCAAAGTAAGAAGTTAATATCTACAGTAAAAATATGAAGAATTTCCCCCCCCCCCCCCCCCCTCAAATACGAAAAACATTGCTTCATGATTTTCTTTTGAAAGGACAGTCGTTTAGACTATAGTATCATTTTCTAGTTCAACTGTCCTGTCTTTTGGAATATAGTACCCAGATCGAATCTCAAGTTGTGTCAAGTATGTCAGATTGACAATAATTTTGATTTTGAAACAGTTTTGGATCATGGAAATAGTCAAATAGGTAAGATTTAGCAAATGTGATTGGCATTATGATGAAAAATAATGTGGGCAATGTTAAATGTGAATGGATGGCCATTGAGGAGGTTATGATAAGAGTGGCATTAAGATGTCCATTTGTATATTCCTGGTAATTGGAATATATTATATTTATGGACAGTTTTAGTGAATGTTTCTAAAAGTATAGTCCCCTCCACCTTCCCCTAATGATGAAAGCGTACATGGCAGATTTGAGATGTGTTCAGCTTCTTCCCTTATTTTTAGTTCTTGTTCTTGGGAGCATGAAAAAATTTTTATCTGCTTTGTTTGCCTGTTACCATTCTAGCTTTCATGGACCGTCATATCCATAAGTGAAACCTTTTTTATTATGTCTTCCTTGAATACAATTCTCTAGTGGCTTAAATTTCTGCCCTTTTCCTACCAGTGGTTTCCCATGATTCTGCAAGCAAAGAATGCAAACGGAAGTTGGCTGAAGCATATGCATTGAACCGTCAGTCAAATGGTTCTGTCAGTGAAGATGATTTAGGCAAGTTGAGACGAAAATTAGAGGAAGATCAGCAGACACAGAAACCTGCTGCTAAAAAGCAAAAGCAGAAGTTAATTACGGATTAACAATAGTATCTTGATCCGTAGCTAGGCTGATGATCTTGATTAGTCTAGTAGTGCATATTTATTCTAACATCAAGTGAAAGTTTGTAGGAAATTATGTTATATGTAGGTCTTTCTTTTAATATACTCCGTAAATGTAAGTATTAAACCAGTTCCCATTCCTATGTAGGACTTTTAGAAGGTCAAAGACGATATAACATTTATTACGAAGTACTACATAAGGTTAATTTATACTCGTAACTTAGAACCATTAAACATGTAATATTTACTATGGAGTGCTACATAAGGTTAATTTACAACTCGAATAACCCCCCCCCCCCCCTTCTCTCTCTCATACTCCTAAGTGTTTTTATGTACTTTGGTTGACACCAACTTTTGTTTGCTTTGGTACCCTAATGAATCCAGTAACCTCAATAATTCTTGTTGGCAAATGGAGTTAGTATGTTTACCAAAAACTCTTTCTTTTAGAGGAATTTCATTCTTGGTCATTTGTAGAAAGATTCCCCGTCACTCACATGGTGCAATTTGCTACTTAATCCTCTTAAAACATCTATAACCACTTCAATCACAACTGGTATAACTTCCATAATCAAAATGGATAGTTCATTTAATCACTATATCTTTTGGTTACAAATTCACAATATTGATAATTTTTTTTTCAGAATATCAACTTGACAACTCGGATTGTACCATTGTATGAGCTTGTTGATGGAGGAGGAAAACTAAAAGTGATACCTATTATTCCCTCCGTTTCTAAATACTTGCAACACTTGTCTTTTTAATCGTTTTTACATACTTAGGATACTTCCTAACTTAGGATGAGATCACTTTATTACAGGAATTTCATTCTAGGTCATTTTATTGATTCCCTTTCCCTTTAACCCTAATTGTACTATTTTTTATTTTTTTTTATTTTTTTAGTTGTTTCTCTTTCTTACAAATTACTTCGTATTAAAAGTACCCCATTAACCCTACATGCATGTTAAAATATCACTTTTTATATACTATCCACTAGTTTTCCCTAAATTATTACTGAATATAAATGTTGTACAAGTATATAGGAATGAAAGGTGTACATTTTATAAAAAATGTCACATTATTGAAAGTCAATCTAATAATGTATATCTCGTGTATTAGCATGGCTGCACAGATAAAATACACTTTAGTTCATAATAATAATGTCATGAACCAAACTAAGCTTGGTTTAGTGAAAAAGATTGCACCTTCGAACCTTAAGATTGGGGGTTCAATCTCCACTAGAGACACTTTGAGAGTAGGAAACCCTTATCCTTCCCCCGATCAAGATCCAATAACGCCATGACGTTAATTAGACACACACTTGAATTTCATTACTCCAAAGAATTACTGGAGACGTACATTATACATCGTATTTATTACCACCTAACAAACTCACCATACAAATTCCGAAAGAATTGGAAAGTCTACTCAAACAACTGCAACCCAAATCAAGCCCCACCCAGCCCAACCCCAAGGAAACAGCCGCCCTCCCTTCCTCCACACCCATTTTCTCTCCTCATTTCCACCCAAACAGAAGGCAACTCACCCAAAAACTAAGAGAGAGAAAATTCACCAATTTCCCCCAATTCAATTTCCAGATCAATTCATCGATTCACCATCTTCAACAATCAGGGCGTGACCTAAGATCCAGAACACAATTCAATCAATCAATCAATCATGTGGCGAAGACTTGTTTTCTCTCACCTCAAAACCCTTTCTTCTTCTTCCGCCATTGTTAAACCTTCATTTTCTTCTCTTTCTCATCGTCTTCCTGCTGCTTCCTCCGCTGTTAGATCCTCTTCATTTCTTCTCTCTCGTCGCCATTTCTCCGCTGAAGCCGGTATTTGTCCCCCCCCCCCTTTTCTAGGGTTTGATTCAGATCTATTGTTGTTGATTTTTTGTTTAATTGATTGGATTGTTTTTGGGTGGTGTAGAGGTTTCAAAGCCTAAGGTTGAAGATGTAATGCCCATTGCTACTGGCCATGAGCGTGAAGAGCTTGAAGCTGAGCTGCAGGTTTTTACTTTTTTTTTTTTTTTATTTTTTTTTTTATCATTATTTGAATGAATAATTGCTGCATTAATTTTCGGAGATTATGAAATTTCTCAAATTTTATTGAATTATTTGTTATGATTTTTCTTAGGGGAAGGATATTCTGGAGATTAACCACCCTTCGGGTCCTTTCGGCACCAAGGTTAGGTTTTTTTTTTCCCCATAAATTTTGCGGGCTTTTTGGATTTTTCTTTTGCATTTGATGATTTATACGTACTTATTTTGATGGATGTTGGCGATTTTTTATTTGTTATTGTGATGGGTATTGGCGATAATTTAATGTGATTGTCAAATGTGGAATTGTTTTGAGGTTGTATACATTGTCGTATTTAGGATTTGCTTGAAATTTGCTGTAATTTGACACTATCTAGGAATGTAGGAAGGGAGGGAGAGAGTTGAATGGGCAATCATTCACTTTGTTTGGTTGTTTCAATTAGAGAAAGGGGTGTGAGAGGAAGTATTTATTATTAGCCATTTTCTAGACTGCTACTGTAACACCCTATGTTACTCGGGGACTTTTCATTTCACCTCGACTATTTGAAATGGGTATGTGACTTGTAGATATGGGTATGGACCTTTTTTTGCTTATGAGTTATGACACATTATTTTGGAACAGGAACATGAAAATTTTACTTTCCTGTGCTATTAGACACTTACAAATACCTGTATTCCATACAAAGTAGCCTAGGCCCTTGGGTGTACCCAATCCAATTACTTTAATCAACCCTGGTAAGTTGGTTTTTAAAATCGTTGCTGTAATACTGATTGTATATTGGCAAATGCAAGGGATGCCTGCACTGAGGATTGTTTGATGGTTCTTTTTGTAAGGTGGTTGCCTTTCTAATTTATGTGTTTGCCGAACTGTGACCCTTGGTAGGATTAAAAAGAATGATACTTTTTCGTGTATGGTATCTCTTATATAGCTACATGTAGTTGTCATGATGTTATATATCTCAGTGCGATGAAAATATGTAATGTGTAGAGTGTAGACTGCAGGGGACCTGTTTGGTATGCTGTCTTCTCATACCTTCATTTTTCTTTCTTGTTTTAATCTTTTGAAATCAGGTGCTGATTTTATCATGTAATTGTGTAATATAATGAAATCAGAACGTATTACTCTGGAACATTATGATTAGGGTTTTCTTTTATTTTTTAGTCTTGAGACTCTTCATCTTTCATTTTAATGTGATGCTGAATTTCGGTGCTTAAGTTTATACTCTTAGGCCGGCATGAATATATGATTTTTATCAAAACTTTAATTTCCTTAAAGCCTTGATATTCGCCCTTCAGCTTGTCTGCTTTAAAGTTTTTATAAACCCAAAAGCTTTGCCTTTACTGTGTTTTTTCCCCCCTCTTAATATCTTACCCCAAAGTCCCTAATCTAATGTTAATGCCTATAAACTGTCTTTAGTCAGGAAACCCCAAAATGGCAGCTTAGTTTCAAAGTCTACATTGATGAACTTTAGAATTTGTTCTCTGTTTGCGTTTATTATACTGTAATGAGAAGAACATCCCAGGAGGTTAAATATTGTTTGGTCTTTTTAGTCCTATTTACTATAATGTGATCCTCTTTGTCTTCAGTATTCTTCCTTTATTTCAATATTGCTTTTTTTTTTAAAAAAAGAAAAATAAATAAATAAATTTATCCTCCTGTTGGGCTTGATAATGCAAATAAATTTTTCAGTATTCTATGCTCAATTTCAATAAGAAGGTTATTATATGATCTATGCATTTTCAAATTAATGGTATCCTAATATATAAAATTCCAAAAAGCATGATGTTGATTTAGATGACTTCTTTCGTTAACGCTTTTTAAAATGCCAAGCTTGCTATTATTTATGAATTATTATGTAAAAATTTAAACTGACTAAATTTATATAATTAATTTGTTGGTCTATCATCTATGTTGTTAAAATTTATATAGCTTGAAATTTTCTTCATGTCCCATCATTATATAGAGATGATCTACACGTTGATTTTTAAATTTTTTGCTAACTTTGAATTGCTATATATGAATGCAGGAAAATCCAGCTATTGTTAAGTCTGTCTTTGACAAAAGAATTGTTGGATGTCCAGGTGGCGAAGGAGGTCAGTATCAAGTCTTTATATGCCCTCTTGATACAATGTCATCTCCATTTTTTTAGTTACTGAATCTTATTTTGCTGTTGCTGACATGTACTAAAACCCTTTAAATCTTTTTAACTCTTCTTTTCCCAGAGGATGAACATGATGTTGTCTGGTTTTGGCTCGAGAAAGACAAGCCATATGAGTGTCCAGTCTGCACACAATACTTCCAGGTTAGTGATGTACTATGTGGAATTTTTGATGACCAGTATATCATTTAGATCCTTGTCATAACAACTTTGTCGACTATGATGTGGAGAATCTATACTGGAAATTTGGTGCTTTGTCTGTAAATCATACGCATCTCAAACTGGACTTGACACGTACTTTCTCTACTTTTGTACAGAAAATTAGATAATGCTCAATCTAAAATATTTGTTAAAATGATTCTTATTTTTGACAAGCGAGTAATATTAGCCACATTTTAGATTAAATCAGCTACTTTGAATTTTCTGCATCTTTTCTTGATTTGCTCTGGAGCTGATAATAGTTATCTGGTTCTTTGAAGAACAATACCAGTGTGCTACCAAATTGCATTTTCAAATTCACGATTTATTGCATACTGCAATCTGTTTTTAAGTGCCAAATTCATTTACATGTTTTTAAGGGGTAGAATTTTATAATTAAAGCTAGATAATGTCCCTCCAACAACTAGTCTTTGATGAGATTGGACATATTCTTATTCTTTTACATTCTTGCTTTTAGCTATTTAGGGTTATGGGTGATGAAAACATTGTTTTTTCTGATTCAAGGATTATTCATGCAGTTGTTTGGCTATTTATTCCCATCCTTTACATTCTTACTTCAATGTTTTTTTCTATAATGTTGGTTTTATTAGAAATGCTTACTAATTGTTTAATCTGTTGCAGTTGGAAGTTGTTGGCGATGGCGGTGACCCCGAAGGGCATGATGAAGATGAAGGCGAACACCACCACCACCATTGATTGTAGTTTACGATTTTAGTGACATAATAAGATCTGGTGAGACAATGAGACAAGTTCTGTGAAACTTCTGCTGCTGCTTTCCAATTGAAAAGCTAAAAAGCTTGTTTGTTTTTTGATGGTACCTTAGACGGATGCTTGTTGGTAACAATTTAGCCCGCTGCTCTATTTTTGAGAGAAATACGAAAAAGTTGTTTCTTTACCATTGAGCTGGTAATTGGAAGTATAACTTTCATTCATGGTCTTTGTTGCTTGGGCGAATAATCCATTGATCCTTTTGCTGCATCACTCGAAGAAAATCCAGTTTGAAAATCTCATGTTGAAATAATTGTAATGGTTATGCTATTTAGTGTTGCTAGGAACTGGCAGGCCTTCTCTAATAGTATGATCAATTCCATTGCAACACAGATAATGAAACTTCATGGAATAACCAACAGGCCAAAAGACATCTGCATCACAAATAAGTGAATAACCCTGCTACGTCCTAAAGACCAGGGTACTCTTCAGCCACCATCTGAGTTGAGCTTCTTATTGACAAGCTATGGTGGTCTCAAGATGTGTCTCATTGCTAGGCAATAACTCCACATTCATCTGCAAGTCGTGATTAATTGCAATGTATTTTCTACTTTCCTGGGTACCCCTTGTGTTTGCTCTATGGAGGATAATTTTCCTCCATTCTTAGGTTTGAAAAGAAGGAAACTTTGCAGTGGAGAAAAGTGGAAGAGATTGGGAAACCATTGCAATTTGTGAAGGAAGGAAGAGGCAATCAAAGTGCTCGTTTCATGGGGCTTTATTATTGCTCTAACCTAGCTATGTATGGACACAAACCTAATCCTAAGACTTAATCATTTTGATCATCTTCTCAAATGTCCCAATTTGGTAAGTCATTTAGCCATAGTGCCATATGACAAGGTAATTTTCCTAGCTAGAATGCACTGAAAGAGTGAAAGGACTAAGAAGTTTCTTCTCCTAAGATACCCTTTCAAGTTTCAACACTACCCTTGTTTTTTGGCAAAGCAATACTACCCTTGATAGGCTTACTAGAAACAAATATTCCCAATCAAACATATGCAGTAAAAGAAATCTATGAGTAGGGGGTGTCTATTATTCGGATAAAAATCGAAATTCAATCCAATTCAAATCAAATTATCAATTCAGATCGGATTTAAACTTTAAATTGGATCGGATTGAAATTTTTGAAAATTCGGATTTTTGGATCTGATCAGATTGACCTTGTTTGGATCCAAAAAACCGAATTAACCGAAATATGAAAATATGCTTTTACAAATAAGGATGGTTTGTATTGATCATGTAAAATTGTGTTGATATATACATCAATATAAATTATGTACAACTATATTTTCAATACTTGTATTAATCATGTATAACTATGTTTTCAAGAATAAAATTTTTAAAATTGCATTTTTATTTTTATAATCACTTTAGGCCTTAAAAATTTGCAATGTATTTCAATTCGGATTTTCGGATCGGATCCAAATAACCGAATTTTAAATCAGATTGGATCGAATTGAATTGATGAGAAATTCGAATCGGATTGGATTTGAAAATAAAAATCAAATTTTATTTCGGATCGGATTCCAAACCAAAAACCGAATAGACACCCCTACTTATGAGCACAATCTCAACATGCCAAATCCACAAATTTACATACGATGCTTTAAAAGTAAGAAGTTATGTGACTATGTTTCAACTAAGCCAATGATCGCTTTTTCTTTCTTTCTTTCTTTCTTTTTTACCAGTTATTTTTGGGTACTTAATTTTCCTTAGTTTTGAATTCTATTTTTCCAAAGCTACCGTCAAAGTGCCCGTTGTGATCTAGGGTTGCTTTTATTTAGCTCTTATGTTATTCCTTTTTTCCATTGCATGGATTAAGGGGTCTTCTTATGATCTTATTTGATTTGGATTTTATGAGGGAAGTGTACTATGGCTGATGGCTCTATGGCTAATGCTTCTTCTTCTCCTCCTTCAAAAGATAATGATGAGATTATACAGGTAATGGTGGCCTTTTATATATACCTAGGTGCACATAGAGCTACGTGCAGTTAAGGAAGGTTTTTTTTTTTTTTTTTTATTTATTATTATTATTATTATTATTTAATATTTTCAGGCAATTATTAAATGAGTAGAAAAATTTTCAAGGAACCCTAAACTTTAAGCTCTCTCCTTCCTCCACATTTGGCAACGGCTTCTTGAACTCTTTCAATATTCTCCAATGCAAAATTTTCTTCCTTTCAAACCTAAGAATGGGGGGAGGAAATCTCTAATGTCCATAGCACACACAAAAAGGAAACCGAGAATATAAGAGAAATATATTAAATACGTATGTAATTATGCTGAAATGCAACTTATAAAGTCTCAAAATTAGTGCACCAAAAAAAAAAAAAAAAGTCTCAAAATTACATGATTTTCTACTCTAATAAAGGAGCCTAATAAGTGAGTTTAGAACTCACTATCAAACTTTACATAGTTCTATAAACCTTTTTCCACCAAAACTATATTTGTTTCTTAACAGCTTTTTTTTATTTTATTTTATTTAATTTATTTATTTATTTATTTCCATTGAAAGTCTTATACTAGTTTAACTAATCTTCATAAATTATTTCTTTACTGTATAAACTAATTAATTTTATTCAGAGTTGTAAATACTTGTTAAATTTTCAAATTAAATTTCAAATATACAAAATATAAAATTCTAATAAAACTATTTCGTGTAAACAATATATGGAGCTTGAATGATTTATGTCAAAATCTCAAAGACTAGTAATTCGTATATTGTTAAACTTATAGTAAAATGACAAGTAGCTAGTATTGCTAACATGTTGGGGTGGAATAATACAATGTTGTGGGTTTGAATTTGTTGCTAAGAAAAAAAAAGGTCTCCACTACTTGAAAATGTCACTATTTCTTGTCTCTTTCTATGTAGTCTTCGAAATTGTTCCCATGCATGATATTTATCAAGGAGGCAACCATATTATTGTTCAGAATCTACACATACATTTTATTCTCACAAGATTATTTAAGCATCCATCTCCATCACATTAATTATTAGAAAGGATCCGACATGCATTTTGTTTTTTTCATAATTTTTGCTCTTTCGCCCTTCTACATCTCTCTTCGCGTCAATTTTTGGCGAAAGATCTACAACCTACATGGTTAAAACTATACATATAAAAAAAATGTAGTTAAAATGTTAAATTTAGAAAAGTTGTCAAAAAAAAAAAACGCTTATAATTGACTTTTTGTAAGAACTTTTTTTTGGAAAAGTAAATTTTTCATTTTTTTTTAAAATATGACCTAAACTATGAACCTAAAGTAAATTTTTCATTTTTTTTTTTAGCTAAGGTGGTCTTATTATAATGGGGTTTTATATGGCCATTTTTTGACCGTGTCAAGCAGTCTAATAGGAAAAATATAGTAACTCTTAATCGTGATTTATTTATATATTTATTTGGTAAAGATTTTACATAACATTCAATGACAATAATTTATACTCCAAAAATTTTGAGGGGTACTGTTATTGTGTATCATCCAATATCAAATTGAACATTTCAACATAAGATGTACCCAAAATCTATACCTAGTGTATAAGTCAAATGATTAATGTTTGGATTTCTCTTATATACAATGAATCAAAAATAAATTTCAAATTACTAATTCCATAATAAATCAACAAACATTAATTTGTAATCATATAATTTGCAATCGAAGACATATTTTTATTTTGTTTAATTTTTTTAGCGGGTTTTATTTTCCCTACAAACAACAAAATAAAAAGACATATAGCAATACTTGACGAATAATAAATTTTCATTACCATTTATTATCTATTTGCTTATTTTCTTCTTTACGAAACTTTTCGAGGAACTTTCTATCATGAAAACTCGTATAGGGTTCACCTTCGTATGAACTTTCTATCATATGAATATTAATTAGTCGTTGTATAGTACAGTAAAAAAGTGGGGAATAATATCTGTATATTGATTCTAAATGAACCGTTGTACACTAAAATGGAAAAAGAAGCTTGAAAAGAACATACAAATCCAAAAATTGATGGACAGAAATATATATCAAATTATTAGCTAGCATATTTTTTAATTTACCTTTCTTTTTCTTGAAATTCTTTGTGTGAATTAGCTAGCATTCAAAAAGTTTGGTTTACGAATGAATTGAAGAAGACTTATTATATTATTGTCTTATGGAGTATGGACAATTGTAACGCAAAAAATACAAAAATTAGAAAAAAGGATTAGGTCCTTTTTTCTAACTTCGTTTGATGGACAACCACACCTATTTATTCTATACAGTGCAAGTACTCTCTTTTTAGTTTGCATCACAGTTGGAGTTTGTGATTATGACAATTGAAATGACTTATCAAATTATCGAACTGTTTATGAAACACGGACGGTATGATTACCTCTCACGTCTCATTTATTTTACTTGTCTCATCCGATTTATATTTATTTTGTGGAAAGTACAATGGGTTAAGTTGAGCAATTAATTTGACTTAGAGGGACTACTTATGGAGTAAAATACTTCGTACGGAGTGAGGGTCCTTGGTAATTTGTCCATCCTCTCCACCAATTCCTATTATTTACTTCGTATTATTTATTTGTGAAAATTAGACAATATAAAACTAAATAAGAAAAATTCAAACCATATTAGACAAGATTAGAAAGAGACTAGACCACATCACCAGATAAAATTAGTGATTCAAAATACACTAGAAGACTTCAAAGATCAAATCAAAAAGATTTAGATCCGGTCATATGAGGCTACGCTAGACTTTACAAAAATATATACCGGCCAAAACACCTCATACAAGATCAAGAGAGCATAACCTTATTACGAAGTAGACCCTGGCCTGTTTTTTTGAGCTTCCGGACAAGTAGAGCAGATTTCAGCAGAGTATAGCAGGTTTCAACAAAGCAAAGCAGATTGAGTCAGCAGAGCAGATTTTAGTAGAGTAGAGCAGAGCAGAATATTGAATAGAGCAGGGCGGCTCAAAAGAACAGGGTTGTACTGTATTAATTCTTGCACTGGAAAATCTAGCCTTATTAAAATGTTGTTGCTGAAAGTGAGCGAAAGTGTAACACTTTAAAAAACTGACCGCATTTGGTAAGTATACACTTTTTAAAAAAGTGGCAGAAGTATTCTTCCTTTAAAGTCAACTACAGTTTCATGATTTCAACTTATTCATATTATTGTTTTTATAAAAATCAAACCAGACCAGATCAAAAGATACATTGGATACACACTTATAAAGACACAATAAACAATAAATTAAACCAAAA